GACTGGGTTCCCACTGGCGGTGAGCACCAGCTTCTCAAGGGTTCCGACTGGGTTCCCGTTGGCGGTGAGCACCAGCTTCTCAAGGGTTCTGACTGGGTTCCCGCTGGCGGTGAGCACCAGCGCACACAGGTTCATTACTTCCTGCTGACAGCACCTAGTCTGTGGCTGTGTAAGCGCCTCCTCTGAAGCGATTAGTGCCATAGCCACAAGGACGCAGGAACCCGGCTCAGCCTCGAAGCCAGCTGACGGCTCATGTATCCTTTACTATTCTTCCAGCTAAACATATAAAAAAATCCTTAATTGTTTATATTATTTAATACAGTAATGATGGCCTTGAACTTAATTTTGACACACAGTAATTAAGTTGGGATAATTCCCCTTTGTTACACTGTAGGACACAGAGCTGCACATTTAATAATTACACACGTTTCTAAGCCTTTGTAGCTTGAAGTGTGTGGTAGTGTGTGTGCATAGAGCATACAGCAATCTAAGCTGCCATTTGCAGTGGACCACAACTATACGTTTCCATCACAATAACTGTATATATACTATTTATCACAAATAATTGAGTCCAGAGGTCTTACAGGAACCACGCATCAGCCGTCCCACACCTCAGCTCCCCACAAACTGACCCAGCAGGATACAGGGAAGTTACTGACAGATCCAAACACTTGGTCCCAAGTTTTTGACCCATCTAGGCCATATAACCTTAAATTTGACAGACTTTACTATTTAAAGATGCGAAGTTTCATTTAGTTAAAGCTGCACAGGGCAGCACAAGCCACCCAGCTTTCCCAGCTGACAACACAACTCTATTCCATAGACTTACCAATCACGACTCTGAATGAAGCATGTGACACGTCCAAATGTGCAAAGAACAGCAGCTACTGTGGGACCTTAAAGCCTCTGAAATCCTAAACACCAAAACATTTCTTTATTTTTCTCAGACAATGATGTTTCCTCCCTTTACATGGACATGCTGCCACAGTTAAGTACCAGAGCCAGGATCATCACAACCCAAAGACCTACAGCCAGGACACCTCTGACCTTGACCCGAGGAGAAGGGCAGGAGACCCTAAACACACCTCCGCCCTTGACCCGAGACCCTAAACACACCTCCGCTCTTGACCCGAGGAGAAGGGCAGGAGACCCTAAACACACCTCCGCCCTTGACCCGAGGGGAAGGGCAGGAGACCCTAAACACACCTCCGCCCTTGACCCGAGGAGAAGGGCATGAGACCGTAAACACACCTCCGCTCTTGACCCGAGGGGAAGGGCTCGAGACCCTAAACACACCTCCGCTCTTGACCCGATGGGAAGGACCCGAGACCCTAAACACACCTCCGCTCCTGACCGATTTGTCGGCTGTGACGCAAACAGCCGCACACTTACAGGCAGCCAAGGTCATCGTAGCAGAGAAATCCAACTGAATATTTCACCACTCTCAGCATTAGCTGTTTAGCGAGAAATTAAAATTTAGGGTTAAAAATTCATCCAGATATGTTCACACTTATTCTTTAAAAACAAACAAAAGAGCCATAATGCCTTGCAAATGACCGGCTGTTTACATCTATAGCAAAAAAGGACTGGCTCACCTGACCTATGAGTAAGTAAAAGAGCAAATCAGTCTGCTGGGGCCTGCAGGGATGCAACTAAAGGTTAATAACAACTGCTGCACTCCCTTAGTGGCTATAAACACCATTATAATTCATAAAGAGAAAAACAGGCTTTTAGTAAAGGAATAACAAGCTTCTCCATGTGCAACAACACAGCAGGGGCCTGTGTCATGAAGCCAGATTTCCCGCTTAGCCGGATAACTTGTCGGATTTAAGGTAGTCTGGGCTGAACATCCATTTAAAAACAGTTTAAATGGATTTTATCTTACGCTCAGTACGGACTACCTTAAATCGGACAAGTTATCCGGCTAAGCGAGGAATCCAGATTGGTGAAACAGGCCCCCGGTAAGTGAGGTCACGCTTCAGGGTGTGTGGCTCAACAAAATCCACAGGTTTATGATGTGGAAGGTCTATTAATAGCCACAGAAAGTCTTGATTAAAGTAAACTTTAAGCACCTTGGAATTAATTACACCAGCTTTTAATTAATCAGGGAGTCGTGGGCTCAGATGTTCCCAAGTCCCAGCTAATGAAATGGAACGAGGAATCTGCCAGGACCAGCCGGCCACCAGCTGGGAGGCGCCGTTCCTCCCACTCGGACAGCGGAGGATCTGAGAGGACGGGCCCCCCAGGCAGTGGCTCTGGAGGCGGCATGGCGGCGCGCCCTGGTGACCCACCCCGTTCTCGCAGCTCTTGTCCGGGTTCCCCGCGTTCCTACGGTTGGCCTGCTCCTGGGACGGCTGGTTTCCTGCAGAGATACAGAGACAGCGGTTAATCCCCAGCTGCTGCATTCACAGCTCACCGGTCTCCAGCTGTCACATGACAGTCAGGAGTGTCACATGACGAGGCGACGGTGTGACATCGAGCAAGAATGAGCGACACCAAAAGCACCAAGAAGCACCTTTTCCTACAGACTCATGATGTACAGCGCTGCTTTCGTCCTTAAGTTGGGTAAAAGTAAAATTAATTCCCATAACGCTGAGGACACACTCAGCTTCAGGACCTGAGGTCGAAGGTGGCCGGTAACAGAGCAGTTTGCTGGGGAAGCCTAATCTTCTGCTCCAAATGACAGGTAAAATGGTGAATTGCAGAGTCCAGCGAACATAACCGGGACTGGGACCGACCGTAGGGGTGCGGCAGGCCGGGGCCGTACAACCCAGCCGGAATCTTTTCCACATAATCAGGTGAAGACCTCACGATGAAAATAGATCTTCAGCTTATTTTTCAATGTAAGTGTCGAGTCCTAAAGCTCTGGGTGCTGGGGGAGCAGGGGCTGCTTGGGGTGCCGCACACCTCGCTCTTGTAATGCCCTGCAAAGAGCGGCCAGCAGGGGGCAGGCTTAGCATGAACGACATGACTACTGGGATGGAAAGTTACTGCAGCCTGAGCAGTGCGAACCACAGAGCTGACACTAATTAAACTGACTATCAGCCAAATTACCGTGTTAGCTTTATGCAAACTGCTGCTGCCCTGTTCCAACAAATATAAAACGCCCTTCAACAGCTGCCGTCATCTAAACCAGTGTCACCCAACCCAGTCCTTGGGGGATCCCCCCCTCCCCCCCGAGGACCCACCCTGGCTGCCAGTCTCCGCAGGCGAGTCTACGTGCCGCAGGAAGAACTTGACCTCTGACCTCCGGGCCCCCCACTTCTGCAGGTGCTCATACATCAGGTGTTCAGATGGGATGGCTCTCTCTGTGTGGGAAAGAAAGGGGTGGGTCAAGGAGGCAGGGAGCAGCCAATCACTGCGAAGAACCACACAAACAGGAAGGGAGCAACTGGTTTTGCAAAAGCCCATCAAACAAGATTGCTGGCAGCAGGATAAGGAAGCATCATGTACATATAAGCAGAATGACATCACAAAGCTTGACTCAACATCACTGAAATACGCATGAATGACATCACAAAGCCTGATTCAACATCACTGAAACGCGCATGAATGACATCACAAAGCCTGACTCAACATCACTGAAATACGCATGAATGACATCACAAAGCCTGACTCAACATCACTGAAATGCACATGTAATGTGAGGGCCAGATTAAATCGCATTCGCTCTGAAAATAGACTGGCTGCTTTTCTGAAGTCTATGTTTCTCGTGCAATGCCCACTTTCCCCATGCAGGGGGCGCCGCCCAGGGCTGCTGACTGCCCTCCTGAGTAGGCCCCGCCCATTTCTGAAGACTTCAGAGGTACGTTCAAGGCAAAAGACAGACAGGTCTGACCCTACTGGCTCCCCTCTGACACCCAAGGCTGTCCGCTCTCTGGCGGGGGTGTATACAGGGGCGGGGTCACAGGGGCACTGATAAAGCTGAAAGCTGATTGGTCCCCAGAGTGCCCCCACCCCTATCACTCACTGATTCATAACACATCATTGGTTAATGATAAGGCCGGCCCCCATGTAGGAATTACAGCCCCAGAATCACCCCTACTCTCTGGAGAAATCAACTCCAGGTTGCAGTGAACAGCTGCTGTTTTGCTATTCTGCCAGCATGTGAAAGCTTCTGAAATCGCCCTGTGCGACACCCCCTGTTTGGGCCTGGGGGGCCGCCGGGTCCCAGCCTGGGGAAAGGTCTCCGTTATTTGCCATCTGCACGATTACAAGTACATTGGAAGGTCTGTTGGAAGGTGACTGTTTCTGCTGGGGCCCCAATCGGTGCGGCTTAGCCCCCCAAGCCAGGACAGGACTTTAAGTTATATGTAATATATTATGTTGTATGATATATGTTACATGTAATATGTGTGGGTCTGCAGTTCGCCCACGTCCAAATGCATCCAGAAAGATGATCTGAGGACTTTGTCATCATTCTTAAGTGTCTAATTATCAGCAACATCACCATCTCCACTAATGAGTACAGTGAGAGTGATATCCTGCTCAGTCAAGGATTTTACTGAAACACTATTCTGCTGGTCACCCCCCCCCTCCCCCCCGAGGGCAGCAGACGGCGCCCAGGGCCCAGCCTGGCTCACGGCCGCAGCCCCGAGGACGGGGGATGTCCCCGGGAGGGCTGTGACTGTCACCCTGCATACTGGATTATAAGAGGGATGCTAACTGGGATCGTCTGCAGCAGTGCACAGTAACAACAGCGTTCGTATTCTAAAAGTGAAGGTGAGGGAACATTCACACATTCCTCAGGACCGCCGCTGCCGAAAGTGGGCGTCTTCTGCCTTTAAGGTACGGAGGTCGTCTTGCGGCTCATTAATGAATGTGAAGCGTGCCGACTGATGTAGTCATTAGCTAGCAGTCAGTCCTCCCTACGGAAGGTGCCGGAAAAGCACAGCAGCACTCGGACCGGGTGCCGGGGCAGCAGATCTGCCGCCTACTTTGTCTCAAAGACAACTAGAGAGCCTCTCCGAGGTTGGAAGTCAGTATCTACCTGCACCCTCTGAAACCTCAGCGACCTCCAGCCACCTCACTGTCACCTACTGCACATTAACTAAAACTCCACATTACACTATCTATAAAATACACCCTGCAGATGCATTTCACAGTGCATTATAGGACAGCAGTGCTATTTTAACTCTGTATAAGACGTGCATGCTGTGAGACAGAGCTCCAGGACTTAAGGTCCCAGCAGCGACCGGCATCCGGCCTCCAGGTGGCAGCAGTGAGCCTCCAGACCATTTGGCCCCATGTGCTGGGAGCTGCCATTTCTCCCGCCAGTCTCCTGCGCCCTGTTCGCCTCCAAAGTCAGGCTGCTCTGCTCCTCTCTTACCGTTGCCCCTCCAGACCTCGGCCAGGTGGCAGCTGCCCTCGCCGGGGGCCCGGCAGACATCCACAACGTCCCGGCAGGTCGTTTCTGGTGTGACGGGCACCTCCGCCACAGCCTGCTCACCCTTACTGAGGTACACCGTCAGGATCATCTTGGGGTTGGGGGGGGGGTGGTCGAGAGGGAGAAAGAGAGAGGGGGAGAGAGGAAGAGGGAGGGAGAGAGAGAACTGTAAGGCAAGACATCTAATACAGCAAAATAAAAGCCCACTAAGTAACAGCTGCTGCAGGATCCTGATTGGCTAACAGAGAGGAAACAGGAAGCTCGTGGCTGAGGGCCTCGCAAACAGGGTGACATCAGCCTGTGGTACCAGTGCAAAAGAAAGGAAAAGGTGGACAGACAAAAAAGGTCTTTTTCCTGAGAAGCCAGAGGCACACAGACACATACAGACACATAAACACATACAGACACACACACACATACAGACACATACAGACACACACAGACACATACAGACACACACACACACATAAACACATACAGACACACACAGACACATACAGACACACACAGACACACACAGACACATACAGACACACACATAAACACATACAGACACACACACACATACAGACACATACAGACACATGTATACAGACACACACAGACACATACAGACACACACACACATGCACACACATGCACACACACAGACACACACAGACACATACACACACACACACACACACACACACACACACATGGTGTCCCAGATACAGGCAGCTGACCTCACTGCTGCAGGGAGGGGGGCTATTTTGGTTCCAGACTCAGATTTGTTTGAGTCCACGTGGCTAGAGGCTAAACTCCCTGTCAGCCCCCCCCCCCCCCCCGCCACCCGAGGCACCGCGC